TATACATACACACATGTACACACATACACGCACCTACCGGATTATATAAGATGAACTCCCACTCCCCCTGACCCATCCCTCCCAAAAAAAAAATTTGCATTCAAATCCAGGGGTGGAGAAAAGTGCGTCTTATAATCCGGAAGATGCGGCACATCGCAGGACCGTGAGAGATGGTGACGGCGGCCTTTGTGGTGCGGGGCATTAATCCAGCAGTGGATTGCTCATGGCAGATGATCTCGACGATGATGATGATGATGATATATACGTGATAAAAAATATATGTTTGTGAGCTTCTACTGCCGAAGGCCTTGTGACCGGAACGTCACGTCCGTCACTTTTATTTGATGGAAATGTTCTAATGTATATACGATGTGTAACGGCTATGTGTTTAACACTGCGTTGGTAATTCTTCTGTAGGGATGATGCGTTTGTCGAGTTGAATTTTCAGATCACGGCTAACATCAGGAGCCGGGAGTGATGTCCGAGCTGGTCCTGCCCCCTATAACCCTCCCCTCCCATCACCCCCCGCACTGACTGACCAGCGTGGTGAAGTATGGTCAACCCCCCCCCTCTCCCCCACCCCTTACACGAGCGACACGGCGTGCGAGTGAGGGCCTTCATCCGACAGTCAATAATTGTTTTTATTTAATAATTGTTTTGTAATAATTATTATTTACCGTATTATGATTATTTTGCCTTTTAAAAGTGTTTTAACGTACATATCCATTATATATACAGTGCTGTACAGTGTTCACAATACATGTGAGTTATGTATATGATAATACATGTTTACTTACATATAAATAACACACATATAAAATTATCCAAATGTACTATTTAAATCACTATAATAATTATAATATTAATAAACGAGTGTTTAGGTACCATTATTTTTTAAACCATTAATTTAACTTTAACGAGGATTCAATTATACATATTTCGATGTCGTATTTCTTGGATCACATAACGCACATTCCCCCCCCCCCCCCCCTCTATTTAAAAGCAACGCGGTTCATGGCTGCGTCTTATTATCCGGTGCGTGCGCACTCGCGCGCGTGTGTGTGCGCGTGTGTGAGTGGGTGCGTGTGTGTGGGTGCGTGTGTGTGCGTACGTGTGTGTGGGTGCGTGCGTGAGTGTATGCGTGTGTGTGCTTGCGTGTGTGTGTGTGCGTGTGTGTGCGCGTGTGTGTGCGTGCGTGTGTGTGGGTGCGTGTGTGCGTGCGTGCGTGTGTGTGCGTGCGTGTGTGTGCGTGCGTGTGTGCGTGCGTGTGTGCGTGTGCTTGCGTGTGTGTGCGTGTGTACGTGCGTGTGTGTGCGTGTGTGACCATATTTGTTTAACTTGATTGACTACGGGGGGTACACTTATTTTTTGGTCGGGGGGGGAGCGGGGGGCGGTGCGTCTTACTATCCGGACATTGTTATTTATTGTCGTATATCCTTTATTGGAACCTAGATATGAAACCAACTCCTTCGACACACGTGAAATAACATTTGCCTCTCACGCCAGTGCGACCTGGGAACGTTAGATTTATCTAGGCCCCATATTGCCTGTTTAATACATTGTCCGATATACACTGAATCATACTCACGCTTTGATTTACACAATAACTGAGTGATTCATAATTATCATACATGCATCGGCAACGCAATGATAGATAGCCCTGTAAAAGAATACCAATCATTGCATTACACCCGTGAAACCAGAGAGACCAAGACGCCGGCAATCTGAACAATTTGATGCAATGGGAAAGCGTATCCGATGCGAAGTTGTCATGCAGACGTAAATATCACGGACAGAGCGAAGTGGAAGGGAGCAAGGCCACACGATCGCGGACGTCTTTGACAAAAGACACGGCTCACATAAATAAAGTCCAGATAACGCGCAATCAATATCGTCCAAACTGCTAGATAACATTTATTTCTCGCGTGTTACCGTATTCTCCCGACTATATTATTTTTCAAAACGTTCCTTGAAGTAAGACGCGCGCATTCAAACTTGTCTCCGGTGTCGATACATTTATACAAATCAGATTTAAAGCACACACGTACACGCAATTTAACACGCACGCACGCGCGCGCGCGCACCTACTGGACTATAAGACGCAGCCCCAACTTTTACATTTAAAATACATGGTGGGGGTGGGGGGGAGTAGGGAATTGCGATAAGTGTTTTGACAAGTTGGCTGGAACGCTGACAACTCAACGCGTGCCAATCTATTAACGGCTCGTGCAAATAAATCAACATCGCGATGGACACATTTGATTCTTGCGGAACAAAAATATAATTATCGTCTGATTTTTTTTTTTTACGAAATGCGCGGACGACAATTGCTACGTGGTTCATCCGGTCTTGGATTTATTACATATATATGTTGACATTTAAAATATCACCACCCGGATAATATGTTGAGAATGAACACAAATGCCATATACCGTACTTACGTTCTGACCTGCCCCGACTGTGTGGACATCTGTGAAGAAGAGCTTGATAGATCATCGGATTACTCGAGGAAAAATAAACATTCTGATTCTGACATTGCGAACATACCTCCGAAATGACACGCACACACACACACATATATATATACACGTACACACGAACATAAATATGTACAGAGTTTACGTTTGAACAGCGTAGAGATTACGTTCGAACATTGTGTCCATGCACGTGTATTTTAGAGGCAGGATCAGGAACAGACAGTCGCGTTGTGACAGCAACAGGCGCCTAGCCACACAGAATAGACGCGTGAATGATTTGGTGATGTTCATGGTGCTGCTGCGTTAGCAGCGGTGCGCAAGCACAAATAACAGCAACAACAACAGCAACAACACAAACTATACACGTTCCGTGTCAATAACACTGCGTTTGGCCTGAAAGAGGGAATATATAGAAGTGACGTTTCGGCCAATAGGCCCTTCGTCATAGAACGTAGGAATGTGTTATTGGCTGACGCGTCTTTTGTTGTTGTTCATCATCCTCGCAGCAACGGCGGCGACTTTTGGCGAGCGATCTAACAAAGACGGCCACTGCATCGCTCGCTTTCAGATGCGCTGTTACGGCCGTCTGGAACGCTCTTCCTTACGATATTATCTCGGTTGAACACTCGTTTCTTTGGAACTGCTTTTTGTGTTTAGTTTGTTGTCCTTCCTCCGCACCTCCGATTCGCACGGTTGGCTATGTACGGTGCGAAAGAAGTTCAGCATACATACGACTAATTCCAACCGCACCTCCGACTCGCACGGTTGGCGACGTACACACATGCAATATACACACACACGCATCGTACACATCGAGCCGGTGTGGATAGAACGTGCTCTGCAGCTGTGAGCGTTATAAAAGTTGTGCGAGCGGAAGTTTTGATGAACGTTTTTCTGTTGGGTTTAAACGGCAATAAAAATGATAAGCAAACACCAAACGCAATTATCAAACTAATTATCTGGTGGTGGTGGTGTTGGTGATGCGTTGGCAGTACTGAACAAGCACTGTTCACAACAACAACAACAACGCAATACATTCGTCAAGAACACCGTGGCGTTAAATATAAAATAGATATACAGTATATAGGATTGGCGACGTTTTGGGCAATGCCCCTTCTTCATAGCACATACACTTACTTAATTGTCCATTAGTTTGTCTTCTGAACAATGTATGTGCGTCGAACTTGTTTTGCACCGTACGAAGCCAACCGCGCTAATCGGAGGTGCGGGGCAAGGACAACAATCTAAACACAAAAAGCCGTTCTAGAGGAATGAGTTTTCAATCTAAACCGATGATAAATATTTAGGAGACATCAGTACTCCATCGAGCGGGCTTGTAAACACCCGCAACTGAGGCTGAAGAACACTGAACCTCATTATAAGCAAATATAAATAAATAAAGTCAATACATAGGAGCTGTATAGTAGCACTCCGTTATCTGTCTCCACATATGAATAAAATATATTTTAGTCTCTCAAACCTATTTCAGATTTCCAACGCAAAGTTATCAAGCAGCCTTTGTTTGTAAATGTTGTGGAATTACTCTCCAACACACCGATGGGCTGAAGTAGCAACTAATTGACGTGTTGTTTACGTCACAAATCGCTTACTAATTGGCTGTGTCGGGTGGTGGAGGGTTACGACACATTTATACTTACGCGATCTTACCCAAAAAATATCTTTACGATGAAGCCTTCGTTTTAGCAACAGCAAATCTGGAGCGGATTCATTCCATCTTCCGTGTCTCATCAGAGGAGCCGAGGCTAGTTTAAAACAAACGCTGATGGACTGCCAGATGTCATTGGCATGAACGCTACATATAAAATACGGGACCCCCGTTCCACGTAAAAAATAAGAAGATGCAATAACACAATGTGTCGGTGAACTAACACATTTACGGGGCGTGAAATATCGAACCAAAGACACTCGTTAATGGCATCAGCCAAACATTCTAACGCAGGACCCTGCTGAAAATGAGCGTTGAGACTCAGCGAGGCTTTCTTTTTGTAAATAAAGAGCATCGCCGTGCTTATGTAAATACGCGCAGTACAGATCGATTTAAGGAATTTCCTACTCTCTATACCAAAGACAAAGACCCCCCTATAGCCTTGACAGACTGTTGGGGCAAGTGCTGTTAGCGAGCACCTATAAAGGCCGGCACGGTCCACAAGGAGGTGGGTGGCCTGGACTACGCCCGGCTACATGTCTCCCTATTGGCGATGTTTACACACCGCACAAAGTACTCATTTGAGGCTGAGTCAACGTAGGGGAGGTCCAGGACCGGTTCAGATAATCGTTACTTGGTGTTGGTCGTGAGCGTAAATTGAATTCGGGTCACCGGGTTCGTAGCACAGAACCATCAACATAATCAACCCAACTTAACCATCACCACCAGCAGTACATAATAATAATCATCATCATGAGCATCACAATCTCCACAAGCATCACCATCACCATCACCCTACACAGCAGACATCTCGGCGTGACCCTTCACGACCCCAGAGCACCCCTTCCCCCCGTCACCTTTACGGGATGCAGGTACCCCTCGGTCTTGAGACTCTGTGCGCGGCTCCCCGTCTGCGCGCTCCCGGCCCTCGCCGCCGCCGCCGCCGCGGCTCCCGGCGGCACGGCACCCGCGGGGGCCGTCCCCGCGCCCTGTCCTGCCTGGCCGTGTCCTTGCCCCTGCCCTTGGCCCTGCGAGCTCGGTCCCTGCGGCTGGTCCAGAGCCCTGGTGAGGTGCGCGATGTAGGTGGTGGCCAGCAACAGCACGTCCAGCTTGGAGAGCTTCGTGTCGGGCGGCACCGCGGGCAGGGCTCGCTGCAGGGCGAGGAACGCGTGGCGCAGCGTGCGCACGCGGCTGCGTTCCCGGGCCGCGTTCGCCACAGCGGGGCGGCCCGCCCGGCCCGCTCGACCCCCACGCGCCGAGCCGGGCCCCGCGACATCCAGATGTCCTCCTCCTCCACCCAGACCGGAGCCACCAGCATTGCCACCTCCATCTCCGTTGCTACCGCCACTGCCTTGCTGGGTGTCATCATTGTCGGAGTCAGGTGAGCTCATGGTGGCGTGGGCGATGCAGACGGGAGCGGTGTGGTTCATGAGCCACCCGTGGTGGCTGCTGCTGCTGCTGTTGCTGCTGCTGTTGCTGCGGCTGTTGCTGCTGCTGCTGTTGTTGCTGCTGCTGTTGCTGCGGCTGCTGTTGTAGTGCGTCTCGAGGCGCCCGCGAGTGAAGAAAAAGAAGAAGAGGGGAGCCAGACCCGGTGCACGCTGAGTTAAATAATGAATTAAAGGCGGCTGCGGCGGCGGCGGTGTTGGTGATGCTGGTGGTGGCGGTGGCGTCGCACACCATGGCAAGAGAGAGAGAGAGTTCACTCTGCATTCCAGTCGAGACGCGGCCGCCGGCTCATAGGATGCGCGCGTGGACGAGGGGTGGGGAGTGCAGGGAGCGGAGGGAGGGAGGGAGGGACATGTGTAGGAATATGGATGGATGGAGGGAGGCATAGGAAGAGGGGAAGGAGGGTTGGAGAGAGGGAGGGAGCGAGCCACCCGGTAATGGGGAGGAATGATCGACGATCGAGGACCGGTGGGAGCGGAGTGTGGGATGGATACAACGAGAAGGGTTGGGAGGACAGGACAGGGGGGGGGGGATTATTTCACCGTCGACTCGAGGCTTCTTCCCGGACTCCCTTCTGACACCGGCGGCCACGCTGCGAGCAGCTTCACTCACTCGGCGTTCACTCACCGCGCGTGGTCCGGGGGGGGGGGGGGGGGTCCGAGCATCGCACGCGCGCCTCTCTCGTCCGCCGCGAACCACCCCCCACCACCCACTTCGACCCCGAGGTGCAGTGGCTCAGCACTCGCATCACCGCCGGAGCGTCGACGCAGCGCGCACGGGAGTCGCGGTGTAGGCGCGCGTAGAGGCAGGAGGGCCCATTTCCATTCTCCACGGCTATGGAGGTGTTCGCGGTCGTCGGTTTGTGCTGCGGCGGAGTTGTTGTCCGCCACGATGTCCGACGTTTCGCTACACTGTACGTGCTGGGAATGTATCCTGAATCGACCAGCAACACCACCAACAACAGCAGCAGTAGTAGTAGTACCCTGCAGGCAGTGCAACATAATGAATAAGCTCCCTGCACGTGGAGCGAAACGTCGGACATCGTTCCGGACAACACGAGGTACGACCCGAGCACACGTGGGGAGAGTCTGCTGCTGCATTCTCGCGGGGCGCGCTCTCTCTCTCGAGTGTCAACTTCCCTTGCGAGACCTTACCGGTGACGTGGTCCTGCTCGGTATGGAACCCTGGTGCCAGCGATGGATTACATAGTGGGGGGGGGGGGGGGGGGGGGCTCAGTCGTGAACCAATTTCCAAGTCCCCCCTCCTTGCCTGTCTGGCCCCCTCCGGCCGGCGGTTCCCCGGGTGGTGCAATTCAACCGCCTGCACACTCGACCTAGACTCGCTTCGGCTCGGCGTGAACGCGTGTTACGTGACCTTTGTGTTGCGCGTGTGTATGTGTAGACATGTGCGTCGCGTGGATATTTTTTGTCGGGGGTTAGTGGTAATTCATCGAAGGTGGAGGGGTTACCAGCCCCTCGCACCAAGCCCAGAGCCCCCATTTGGCCGCTGTGGTGGCTACAAACGACGTGAAAGGAATGGCCAATCGCAATTGGCCCTCCCATGGCACTGCTCACCACAGCGTTACCGTCCGGCACCAACGAGGAGGTAGGGGGTTGTTTTGCCGGACACGTGCACGTAGCCTGGCACAAGCGCCGTGGTGACGTCACCGCCACTTAGGTTGTTGTATCGCGTGGGGAGTGGCGGGCGTGGTGGTTAGCGCACTGCGCGACGAGTCACGCTTCACGACCAATAACAAGTGGCCAAGACTGTATTTGAACCGGTTCTGGGTGGACTCTCCTAGGTTGACTCAGCCTTAAGTGCGGTGTTTAAACACCAACACTGTGGAAGACAAAGGTGGCCGCGCTTGGTGTTGGTCACCGACCCTCTTGTTGTGCCGTGCCGCCCTCCATAGGCGCTCGCTAACAGCACTTGCCCCAACGGCCTTTTAAAGGCTATACGGGGGATCTTTGTCTTTGGAGTAGCGTGAGCTGTGCACTGCCAAACGCGTTACGCTAAGACGAATCTGCACCCACGGCGTGGAGAGAGGGGAGGCCATCATCCAACAGTAGAATCGTACACGTAGGTGCATCATACGAACAATGCATTGAAAGGTATCAGCATCAGACAGCATCACGCAAAATGTGTATCCGTCATTCCGCTGTTACCGTATTCTCTGGATTGATAAGGCGCAATTACACCCATCCCATATATTAAAACGAGCAAAATGTGGGGCGTTTGTGTGAGACGAGCTGTGTACAAGTTTATTGACACCGTGCAACAACGTTTTCTGTGGGGTGCGTCTTTACTTTTTTTGTCCGGTGCGTCTTATAATGCAGAGAATATGGTGGCGTAACTCGAGATCCGATGCAGTGGCAGGAACCCCACCCTTCGCGTATAACGGAACCGCGGTGGCGAGACGGTGCCAAAGACGCCGCCCAAAAACATGGGAGTTCGAAAATGTCATGCATACGCGTGGATTCTATAACTGTACGGTGGTGGCTATGCACGTGCTCTGTTATCCAGCGGTGGCGAGATGTTAACTACCTCGCCTGGTACACATGAGGTCGTGGGTTTGATCCCGACTCCTGGCACCCGTATATATTGGAGTTTGCATGTCTCTATCCCCGTGGTCGCGTGGACTTTTCTCTGGGTTCTCCTGTTCCTCCCATCCACGTGCATCTATTTGGCTACTGCTATCAATTTCCACATGATAAGCCATTTGATTTGAGCTATCATTTGTGGCCAGGTCGCTTCTGAAAACGAGCTATACAGCTCAGTGGGCCTTACCTGGTAAAATAAACAAAATAGTTTAGGGAAGTAATAAAATAATAAAAATAAAACCTAATAAAACATAATATAATAATATAATATAATTGTGTTATTTTTATTTTTATTATTTTATTACTTTCCTTCTACGTGACTTTACCGAAAGAACCAAGAAGATGAATCCCTGCAGTCACGAAAGCTTTAAATCGAAATTTAAAATAGTTTAGATTCGTTTACTGTGGTGGATCACCGCACGAATGTTGGGAAACTCCATTCCCACGGGCCATCAAGGAGGAGGTTCCATATCCCTGGCTGGCCAGCAGAAGTTAGTACAGCAAATTAACTAATCGACGGCTGTTTCCATCATAGAGCGTTGGCCTCTCGCGCAAGGCGTGGGAGTTTTCTCCGGGGTGCGTCGGCTTCCTCCCACTTGTATAATAAACATTTACCGTCATTCATTGACTGAAAACATCTTTAAATTAGAAAAAAAACCGTAACGTAGTGTAGCAGCAGGACCTTTCTGAAAACGAATGATACGACCCAGTGTGGCTCACCTGGATAAATAAGCAAAGTATTATATTATAACGCGGTCGAACACGTGTGTCTCTTAAGGAAAACCTCTCTCGCAGAGTCTCCAGACCTTTGTAATTAGAGGGGGCAAACAAATACGAGCACATTTTTCAAATTATCCTTTTTAGCTCTGGATTATGTCGCTTTAATTTTTTGAGGCAACCCATTTTTTTTTTATAAATACACGCGCTTGTTTTGTAACAATAGAGTAATTCCGCAACATCAACACAACTTCGTTATGAAACGTCATTCATATCGGGTCATATTTATAAAGTTATCGTGACCCATCCCCCCCACCACCACCCCGTTAACGACGAACGAACAGAGCCAGTGCATGAACGCGCTTGCAACTTTACTTGGAAAGCGTTGAAATAAAATAATAACATTACCCATGATTTGCCAAAAAAAACTTCACTTAGTCTCAAGACTCTTTTTTTTCGGGAGGCTTCGGTTCTACATAAGAAAATGTTTTCTTGCGTTAGATCGCTTAAAAAGATATCAAATGTGTTGTTAACCCGCCACCACCCGACACAGCCAACGAGTAAGGTTTGTCACGTAAACAACATTTTCCAATCAGTTACCACTTCAGCACACCGCTTGTGTTGGACAGTAAACCCACAACATTTACAATTTCAGTAGTACGACGTTTCGCCGGTGACTACAACAACAACAACAACAACCAGTCTCATCAGGCGATTTGCCAGAATTGAGAAGCAGTCTTCGAAGACCAGAGTTAATCTGACGCCTGCTTCTTTTTACATTCGGGGAGGACACCCGGAAAATCCGGAGAAGACTCAGCATGCGCGCGCCGAGGGGGTAACGCTCAAAGCTCCCGCACAGATGAATGGAGATCCCACTTGCTGTATACAGGTCAGTCTCCTCGCCACGGTCTAGATGCCTTACAAATGATGTCTGCGTGATCCTGCAACCCTTGCCCCCAATGTGCACCTCCGCGATTGGCACGGTTGACTACGTACGGTGCGAAAGAAGTTCAACATACATATGATGGATCACGCAACACGTAGACAATAAAAAGATAAAAAATATAATAAAATAAATGAAAACAACTAAATTAATTTTATTGTATTTTTTACCTACATGACTTTACCGAAAAAACCATAGAGTATGAATCCTTGCAGTCACGAAAGCTTCAAATCTATAAACAATAAAAATAACACAATTATATCAAATAATTAGAAAAAAGCGAATGCAGTTGGCTATGACACGTGGCTAGCCTGAGGGTATTGGCAGATGGACGAGATTGGCGACTGAGTGGTAGCACAAAGGAGTTTTACAAGTTTTGCTTAACGCGTTTGCTGTTGTTGTACACCATTCTCGCAGCAGCAGCGGCTTCTGGCTCGCCATCGAACGAACACGGTTGCTGCATCGCGCGCTTTCAGATGCGCTTCTGCGGCCGTCTGGAATGCTCTTCCTTCCGATATCAGGAAGCCACTGGAGCTATTCGCTTTTACGCCAATCTAGATAGTAAAGTATTTATACAGAACTGCTTTTTGTGTTTATTTTGTTGTTCTTGCCCCGCACTTCCGATTACCATGGTTATCTACGTACGGTGCGAAAGAAGTTCAACATACATCTATGCAGGATGAGCCTGATTTGCAAGAGCGACCTGGGTCGCCAAACAGACAAAGATAAATAAAACATTTAAAAAGTAAAAGTGCAATCAATGACGTAAATATAAATCAGCGTCGAGGTTTTGAACCCGGCTGGCCGGCTTCAGGGGCGTGCGATCCACGACAGCACGGGGACATTACAAAATAATAATAAGCGAACGTCATGGACAGGATTTGAACCTGTGCGGGGAGACCCCATTGGATTTCGAGTCCAACGCCTTAACCACTCGGCCACCATGACTGACATGCCCAAGCTAACGATGTTTTCGTTTTACCCAGGTAAGGACCATTGAGCTCGATAGCTCTTTCTTGTTTA